CAAAAACCTGCTAGGAAAAAGGACATTGGGAGGAATATCATTAGAATGAAGTGAATTTAGAACTCCCTCACCTGAGTTGGATGACATAGGGATTTGAGGAGCTTGCAGCAAGAATTCTTCTAAACTGCCCAAGTCGTCCTCCTCCTCTTCTGCTTGCAGCAGCAATTCATCCATGTTCGGGCTGTGTTTGGATGGTTCTGGGACAGCTTCATCCTTCATGTCACCTTCCAAGGTGATGGCTTCATCGAGTTCACTTTCTGCTTTTGAATTTGCAATGTTTGAGTTGGAAAGTTCACTTTGATCTCGAATCTGTGCCATGAATTCCACAATCTGCCCAACTTGCATCTCCAATTCGTCCACTCTTTTGACTCGATCTTGCATCTCCTGGTTTTGATTTTCTACTCCCTGATTCAAAGAGGTGAGTAACTTATTAAGTGTATCATTATCCAAAGATGTACCTGAATTGAATTGGGTTGATTGTTGTGGTGGCTGTGACGGTTCATATGGCCACTGATAGAACTCTTCTGATGGCGGCAATTGTTCTTCTTTTCGTAAACCCTGCGCCACAGAAATTAGTCCTTCAAGAATTTCATTATAATTCATGGGCATACTTTGATTTGATTGGAATTGTTGTGGGGAATGCTGTGATGGCTGCATAGGTCTTGAATAGAACTCGTCTTGCTGCCAATATCCACCTTGTTGAAATTGTTGAGGTTCATCCCACATATAATCTGAATTACCTCTCCAATCTAAATTGTAAGCGTTGGAAAATATGTTGCCCCTTGATTGGTTATGGCCTTGATATCCCCAAACATCTTCATTTGCATAAAATTGAGGACTTTGATAACCTTGCCCATAGGGCACATCAAATGTAGGGACACTTGGCATTGTGGTCCGTTCGGCATTATGAGTCAATTGAGCAGTGAGCTGTGCCAATTGAGCTTGAATGATCGCAAGTGCCATGTCTCGCTCCATTTGTACCTAAAATCAAAGGAAGAAAAAATAAATCAAATATCAAAAGTAACACAAAACAAGGAAAACAAACTAAGTCAGAAATTAAAACAAAAACAAACTAAACAAAAAGAAAAGAACCAAGGGATTAGCAAAGTTTGCTAATCCCCGGCAACGGCGCCAAAATTTGGTGCGAAATATATAAGCACACAAATTAAACCCTCTTTTGACAATTGTAGTATAAGTATAAGTAGGGTATCGTTCTAGGCCGGGGATTAGGAGGGCTTGCTAAAACCTCTTAGAAATTAAATTAAAAGACTAACAATAAAGAAAACTAACTAAAAAAATATAATTTAATAATGGATGGGTGTTTGGTTTTGATGAGAAGTAAATTAAACTTAATTAAATTACAGAATTGACAAAAACATAAAATTAAGGTAAAATGATAAATGACGGACTAGCTAGAGGGTTTTTCTCCACACATGACACATATGCAACCTAAATTGATTTTCAGTTGTTCTTCAATAAATTGTAAATCACAATGTTCCAAGTTAATTAGGTCCGCTTAAATTAACTCTTAGATTTTCCACAAGTTATTGGGTTGGATGATTGCATACGACAACCCAAAACATTTCCTACAAGTTCCCTACATGAATTGCATAATAGAGAACAAGCAAGAATCATTAAGTTCTATGAAAAACATAAACATTGACTAGGCATTCATAACTATGGAATACGCATGTTAATCCAGCCTAGAATTTACTTAACGCGATCGTTTATAAGCGACCTCCACTACTTGTGAATATAAGTTCATAACGATTAGGTGAAATTCACTTATATTCTAGCATCAAATTCATGCATGTAAATTAAGCATGCATTCTTAATCGACATACAAAAATAAGTTATCAATCAAGCAGTTAAGCAAATTAAATCACAACTCAGAAATCACAACTGAAGGTAATCAATTCATATTACAAATATATTCATGGTTTCGAATTAACCTCTAGCCAAAATAAAATTAGTTACACATTATTAAAATAAAACCAACAGTAAAATATAAGTATGGAGAGATTTAACCGAGAGAAGTTTGGAAAGATTAAACCGAAAGATGAGGGAGTTTGCTGTCTGTCCGTGCCTCTCGCTTCTGACCTCCCTGTCTCTCGGTCCTCACTGACCCCGTGCTGCCAAAGCAGCTCCCTGCTGACTTGCCACGTGCTGCCCAATCCGAGCTTCTTCCTCCTGGCGCTCCTTTTCTCGCGTGGACTCTCCTCCTGGCGCTTCTGTTGCGTCGCCAGCTGCCAAGGGCAGCATCTCTTGTCCTCACGCTGCTCCCAAGCAGCATGCACGTTCTGACTCCTCCGTGCTCACCTCATGCGCTGTCCCTCGCAAGACCTCCACGTTTCTTCTGCTTTCTCCCGCACGTTAACTGCCAGCTGCCAAAGGGCAGCCTCCCCCCGTGTCTCTCTTCTACGAGCTCACCCCCTTCTTTCCTGGCGCTCCCCTTTTCTGTCTGACCTCGCAAGAGCTGCCCAATTGGCAGCTTCCTCTACACCAATCCCCCCTGGCTGCTGTCTGACACTTCCTTTTAAATAGCCCACGATCCTCTCGTAGCTGTCTCCCGCGTGCTCCTTATTCAATATTTCTTATTTCTGTCAGTGCTCCACCTTGATTTCTTTTTGTTGCCTCACCAACTCTATTCCATTTCAACAACAACCCAATTATAAATATATATATATATATATATTATATATATATAATATTTATATATATATATATTTTATGCTCTCCATTATTTTTCTCGTGGTCCACCCGTGTTCCACAATTTTCTGTTTATTATTTAAAACCCATTTGTGCTATTTTTATTTTCTTTGCATAACAAATCCTATAAACACAAAAATAACGTAAATAGCTCAAAAATATAAGGAACTAACTAAGAAAAGACGAGTGAATTTGAAGTAAAAATATATATAAATATGATCCGATCAGATCCTCACCCTTAGGGGCCTGACATCCTCTTCGGCACGCATCCGGCCAGGGATTGTCTCTAATACCAAATTGTCACATCCCGGCCCGAGCCCCCACCACATTCCTGGCTCGACTCTGCCGTAGCACGATATTGTCCTCTTTGAGACCCGACCACACCCTCACGGTTTTGTTCCTGGGAACTCACAAGAAAACTTCCCAATGGGTCACCCATCATGGGATTGCTTTCGCACGAACTCGCTTAACTTCGGAGTTCCGATGGAACCCGAAGCTAGTGAGCTCCCAAAAGACCTCGTGCTAGGTAAAGATGGGAATATACATATAAGGCTTACAAAATCCTCACCCCTAGGCGATGTGGGATCTTACAGTTAGTCAAAATCTGGTGGTATTTAATCTAGATTTTTAAAGTGATTTTCCAAATCAGAAAGTAATAAAAAAGTCAAAGAATTTGTAGGATTCAATATAATTGTTGATTTTGAATCATTTTACAGTGCGAGGTATAAATATCAAAGGTCCTCACAAATCAGGCACCCACCCTTTATATTTCAATGTGATTCCTTATTTTCAAAGCTGACTACAAAATATGAACAACTTCTTCAGAAATCTTTCTCCAGGTACTATACACATAATATGCTACATGTTTGTGTCAATAATTTTTATTCTAAGTACGACAGATTTGATTACATAAATCTTTCTCTTTTTATTCTGCAATTTTATAGTTTGCAAGACAAGGACATGTAGTAAGCGATTTTATTAATGTTGTAATTCTGAAAAAATAACATCCTATTCATGTATTTTTCTTAGGTGGTTGTGTATGCAAACAAAGCCGCCCCCACCCCCCCCTCTAAAAAAAAGAATTAAAAATGTGATGGCCTCCCCTTTATTGAGGATAGAGAATTAAATGCAGAAATAGGGGAAGGGATGTGATGGCCTCCCCTTTATTGAGGATAGAGAATTAAATGCAGAAATAGGGGAAGGGTTCCAAATCTTTTTTGGTTTAAAGGTAGCTCGCCTTATCGACGTACCAAAACTTCATAACAAAATTCATATAAAATTCTTTTATAATTAACCGGATTCTATATGAATAAATTAAAATTCATGAAATCCAGGAAATTTAATAATTATATTAAATTTCTAGTTGAATACACCTTCCTTAAACTAAAGTTCCTATTTTTTATTTATAGCAAGAAACCTTAACTTGAACGAATCCATATTTATGTACGACTAGGATTTTTTTCGAATTCTGCTCAATCCTCCTCCAATTATAACTTCTTACCTCTTTAACTCACATAAAATCCTCTTTAGAATCGTGCAAATCTGGTTCACTCATGAAATAAAGAAACCATGGCCTGGCTCATGCCTTATTTGTAGATTTTTGTTACAAATTTGCAAACAATAGTTAAAGAAACCACAATCTGTTGTCAAAATGTAACTTGATATTGCCTTTGGTGGCATGAGTGGCTTATTTCCTACTTCCGTTCAATCCTAGGAGGATGCACACACACTGATGTAGAATATATATAGCCTAAAAACCAAAGTAGGTAGAATTAATTGGTACCAAGTCGGTGGGTTAAAAATTGTAATGATGGTGACAGGTGTAATATGTGTTTTGACACATTGCGACCATGCAATACAACACATGAATAATGCCAGCACCAGTCCACTGTAGTCTGGATCACCGTTTCCAGAATCTCCGTTTCTTGCAAGAAAACAGAGGGATTCTAATTTCCAAGAGTTGAAGTGGTGAAACTGCAAAGAAAAAGACAGGTAACCACTTACAAATTCATCATCACCCTCGTCACTGATGAAACACAAGTATAACTGTGCATTCCTTTGAGTTTGAGTTCTCCATAATCCCTTGTTTGGTTGACAAGAAAATTAAAAAACGAATGTAAAACATATTCCTATGATCTCCTATCTTTACCTAGCTTTTTCGGGGGAAAAAATCCACAACTAGAATTTGGTGTATGTATAATCCAGTGAGGCATGGTTGTTTTTTAATTTATCATCTCGGTTTGTTCCATTTTTCCTAAGATTTCAGGTGTGGTGAGGAACTGAAAAAAATAATGGATGGAACGGAGAGAGTAAAGGACTCGCATGAAAGGCACCGTAGCTTCAGCAGAAGCGTGGAGGATGTGATTTTAAGTGCCACACACTCTCGTCGAAACAGTCGAATGGAAGAAGAAGAAGAAGCTCTGACATGGGCTGCCATTGAGAGACTGCCCACATATAATCGGCTAAGAACAAGCATCATCAAATCCTTTGTGGAAACCGATGCTCAAGGAAATAACAACAACAAAGTGGTGCGTAAGGAAGTAGATGTTCTGAAGCTCGACCTAATCGACCGTCAGAAATTCATCGACGGCACTTTTAAGATTGCCGAGGAAGACAATGAGAGGTTCTTGAAGAAGTTTAGAAGTAGAATTGATGAGTAAGTTCTTATTTTGTCTTTAGTAAAGATCAAATTATTTCATTTACAATGCTGCGCTCTTCCCACCCCTATTCCTATTTCCCACACCTATTACCTATAAATGCCCTCAAAGATCCTCGTCGGATTCTCTTTGTGAGGTTCTTGGGATTCTTCAATCACATTCATTCATCGTACATTGTGTAGTCATAAATCATTGGAAATATTTTTATTTAAAATTGAATATAAACCATACCAGACAAAAACTGACTACACGATGTACGATAAACGGATGTGATTAGAAGATTTCCATGATCCTCACAAAGAGGATCCGGCATGGATCCTCTCTCCAAAACCCTAATTAATAAAAGAAAAACTTTCTGTGGGTGTCATCTATATATCGCAGAGGGTTCATGCCTCCTAGAATTCTTCCAACGTAATATAAATCTACCTTTGTTATCGAATGCCCCGCAAATGCTTAGATTTGTCATTTTATGTAATTTCAAAGAATAAATGTGGTCGGTTTAAGTCTAACTAGGACTGCAGTTATTATATATGGCATTGCTATGGATGGTTGCTCAAATGCAGCTAAGTCCGACATTTTGTTGAATCAGTTACTATCAAAGTATTTCTTTTTTTAATTTCATTTATATATATGGCTACTAGTCTACTACAAAATGTTGGGTGCTTTATTTGTTTCATTGTCCTTTCCTATTTTCTTTCTTCCCTCGTCTCTTTCTTAATTGTAATGACTCATGACCAATACACTCGTCCCGGTGTAATGACTCATGACCAATAGACTTGTCCCGGTGTTATGCGCAGGTCGAGCAAGCAAGTGTTTGGTACGCATAAAGAAATTTCATGGGAAATTATTTCTCAATGTCTTTTCGAGGGAATGAGAAATAGAAGAATTATGTCCTTTGTTATTGGTGCTTGGGTAATGCTAGGAAAAAAAAACCAGGAAATATCATTTTATTTCCATTGTGATTGGCTTATTCACGAATGGGAAACAAACTTAGATATGCATCAAATACACTAAGTAGATTCGCACACAAACAAAAAATTTCCTCGTACTTAATTTGGTTTTATGTTTTTGTAGATGACGCTTTACTGCACTCACAGAAACCAAAGTAGCCTATGTACCCTTGTGCGGGTTTGATCCCTACCGATCCTCCTTCCTAACATTTAAAAATTTAACACAGTAACACTATCATTTGTCAAAAAAAAAAAAAAAGTTTTATATTTTAAGTTTGGTATTCTTGCAGCACTTAGTAATACAGTTTATCAGCATTCATCTTTATTTGTAAGTGAGAGGTGTTTAACAAGAATCAAACCAAATTATTATGGTTGGCCCATTGTGTGGCTTAGCCCAAGTTCCCCACCCTTTAGTATACATATATCATTGTATTAAAAAACAATTTTTTACTCATTCTATTTAGTAAAATGACATGGCCCTGCACACCTTTTGTCCTTTTATTTAGTCAATACAAGAGTCGGAAGTAACTAGGGTGAACAGGGAGAGAAAAATGGTTTGTTCAAATCCTTTTTCTATTTTTCTCAAGTTTTATGGATCGACTTGCTTTTTTTAGTAATTCCCTGTATCCAAGATTTTGGAGTTTTCGACCAGTTCCTATCACTTTATCACTCTATTGTTCTTTTATTTGTAGTATTTAAGGGTAATATAGTCTGTTCTAGTTTCTTAAGAGCCAAAAACATTAGGTAAAAAAGAACTTTCAGACAACTCTTTTATTCTAAAGGGAATTAGAATGAGTTTCTCATTCACCCTACTAATTATGTTACATCAAATAGGACATGGAACATCCATTTGATACACGTACCTAATGAACTTTTGTCCTCATGTTGTAATTAATTTCAGGGTGGGTATCAAACTACCTACAGTGGAAGTTAGGTTTGAGCACTTGACAGTTGAAGCCGATAGCCATATTGGCAGCAGAGCTCTTCCCACTCTCCCAAATGTTACTCGGAACATTGCAGAATCAGCTCTTGGCTTAATTGGGATTAGATTAGCTAAAAAAACAAATCAAACAATTCTCAAAGATGCCTCTGGCATTGTTAAACCGTCGAGGTAAGCATAGTTGAACACTTGCTATAATTACCAAATCAAAGGTGGTGTCAAAACTTGTGTTCCGACAAGTTTAATTAATCTTTTTATTCAGCTATTAAGATATATTAATTAAATTATTCATGAGAATAACACTTTATGTAATTGTAATCCTTATAATTTTGTTTTAGGATGACCCTTTTATTAGGTCCTCCATCCTCTGGAAAAACAACACTTTTGCTGGCACTAGCTGGGAAATTGGAGCCAAGCTTGAAGGTCAGGGGTCATCTTAATCGTATGTTTTTGATCGATTAGCTGAACTTTTGATCACAACTCAATGTGCTTTTATGGATCTGGAATAGGTCAAAGGAGATATCACTTACAATGGGTACAAGCTACATGATTTTGTGCCACAGAAGACATCTGCGTATATTAGCCAAAATGATGTTCATATAGGAGAAATGACAGTCAAAGAAACTCTAGATTTTTCCGCTAGGTGCCAAGGGGTTGGGACTAGATATGGTAACCACAGCTGAACCAAACCGAAACCATATCTTCCATTATATTGTCAAAATTAGTTTTCTCTTTTTGAGTTCGTTTGGTACACATGGTTGACATGGAATGTTTATTTCTCTAATTTCAACGCATATTGAAGGTGGTAGTATTTTTTATTTCGAGAGGCATTGGAATGGATATGTTTTCGTCATGAGTAATCCATCCTATCCTCTTGGTGGTCATAATTTTATAATTTCTCCCTTCAACATACCTTTACTGTAATGGGTTATCCATTTCAATCCAATCATGTATACCTAACGAGCCCTTTATTTTCATGTAATTTTGGAAATGAATTAACATTCTAATAAAAAAAAAACTTTGGGTCATAGAACTTCTTTGTGAGCTTGCTAGAAGAGAAAAGGACGCTGGTATATTTCCTGAGGTAGATGTTGACCTTTTCATGAAGGTAACATATATTCATGCCACATCCCTAAACTCTGCTTAAAAGCATGATTTATTTAGCTTATATTTCTGGATTTCTGGTTTATTTCAGGCTACATCAATGGGAGGAGTTGAGAGTAGTCTCATTACTGACTATACTCTCAGAGTAAGTAAATACCAAACTTCAAAATGAGATAATTAATCGTTTTAATTCTTTGTTTGGTATCCAACCATTCTCGATTTAATATTGTACAGATTTTGGGGCTCGATATATGCAAGGATACAATTGTTGGAGATGAGATGCAGAGAGGGATATCTGGTGGGCAGAAAAAACGAGTAACCACAGGTCCATTCCCACCCTTTCCTTGTGTTATGGCCACTAAAGAAAATTCTGATTGCGATGAACTTGTTAATAAATATAGGTTCAATATATAATACAGATTAGATATGAACTAATAGTGTCGCTGATGGAAAACAATGTTTTTTAATACAATAAAATCCCAAGTTAGATATATATGAGTCAATACAGGTGAGATGATTGTTGGGCCTACAAAAACATTGTTCATGGATGAGATATCAATGGGTCTAGATAGCTCTACGACATATCAAATAGTGAAGTGCTTGCAGCAAATCGTACACATTACCGAGGCCACAATTTTGATGTCCCTACTCCAACCTGGTCCTGAGACATTTGATCTCTTTGATGATATCATCCTTTTGTCAAAGGGCCATATTGTCTACCAGGGGCCACGCGAGCTTATATTGGAGTTCTTTGATAGTTGTGGATTTCGATGCCCTGAACGAAAGGGAACTGCTGAGTTCTTACAAGAGGTAATTTCTTGATAGGTCTCACTTTAAAATGGTACGTAGGTTGTGATACATCTTATTAGAAGTAACGAGGAGAGAAGACCTGACATTTAAGACAGTTAAATTTGGCTGAGTTCGACTTGAGAAAATGTTAGACTGATTAAATTTTTTTGATCAACATTTTCAGGTAACCTCAAGGAAAGACCAAGAGCAATATTGGGCCGACAGAGGCAAGCCATACCAATACATATCAGTCACTGAATTCGCAAACCAGTTCAAGCGCTTCCATGTGGGAATGAGTATCCATAATGAGCTCTCAATCCCTTACAATAAGTCCCGAGGGCATAGAGCAGCCCTTGTTTTCACAAGATATTCAATACCCAAATTGGAACTTCTCAAGGCCTGTTTTGCCAAGGAATGGCTGCTGATAAAAAGAAACTCTTTTGTTTACATTTTCAAGATGGTTCAAATTAGTATAGTGGCAGTTGTAGCAACTACCGTATTCTTAAGGACCCAAATGCACACCCAAAATGAAAATGATGGTGCATTGTTTATCAGTGCAATTATATTTTCCCTGGTCACTAACTTGTTTAATGGTTTCTCTGAGCTCTCACTGACCATTGCAAGACTCCCTGTATTTTACAAGCACAGAGACCTTCTTTTCCACCCTGCTTGGACTTTCACTCTCCCATGTGTCCTACTCCGGATTCCTATATCCCTTTTAGAATCCACTATTTGGGTTGGCATTACATATTACACAATTGGGTTTGCACCTGAAGCTAGCAGGTACTACATTTTTTCCCTTAATTTCATCTCTGACTTGTTACTTTTCGAGATTCTGATCGCAGCTGTCACTTTTTTGCAGATTTTTCAACCAACTATTGCTGTTTTTTCTGATCCAACAAATGGCTGCTGGGATGTTTAGGCTTATCGCTGGAGTCTGCAGGACCATGATCATTTCCAACACAGGCGGGAGTATCAGTCTGATGATTGTTTTTATACTTGGAGGTTTCTTAATTCCTCGAGGTCAGTACCAAATTGAATACTATGAACCTTAGAAGACACTATGATTATACATTTTTGTTACTGTGGTCACACATGTGTGTGCGCGCGCACACACGCTTATCTCTATTTTGTTTAATCAGAATTCTTGGTTTATTTCATATTAAAAAAAAAGCTTTAAGTACATATAGGTAGCAGATTCAATATGAGTTGTGGCATCTAACAGGTGAAATGAAAATTTTAGTACCTCGTAGAATGGTCAAAGAGTTGTTTTATGTGTGACAGGTGAAATTCCAAAGTGGTGGATGTGGAGCTACTGGATTTCACCTATGGCATATGGCTTCAATGCTCTTGCTGTAAACGAAATGTTTGCACCGAGGTGGATGAACAAACTGGTAACACTTAATTGCTCCCTGCCATACATCTATAATAAGCAGGATTGGTTTTATAAAAGGTAGCTCCTGAAATGAACTTTAATATGCTGCAGGCTTCAGATAATGCCACCAGATTGGGTGTGGCAGTGCTTGAGAACTTTGGTATTTTCCCTGACAGAAACTGGGTTTGGATTGGATCTGCAGCTCTTGTCGGATATGCAGTTTTCTTCAACATCCTTTTCACACTCGTACTTATGTACCTGAATCGTAAGAGAGCACATTACTTTTTTTTATGTAATGGTGTAATGGTGTAACATTGACTTTCTGCTTTAATTGTAGTTTTGAGGTGACATTTTCTTATGCTCTTAATTATTTCAATAAGTTAGCTCTTGGAAAGCCACAGCCTATGATATCTGAAGAAGTAGCGGCTGAAATAAGAGCAGATGAAGAAGAATCGAAGGATGACCAGAATTTCAGAAGACCCAAATTAAAGACAGATTCAATTTTTCGATCATTTTCTTCTTCTGATGGAAACAATTCAGGTAAGAAACAAAACAATGCTCACAATTCTAGTTATGCAATGTGAACGCACTATTATCCATGGCACTGGGCCTAATAATCTTTTAGGAGAAATGCAAATATGGAGATTGGGCAGTCGATCAAATGCGAATAGACTTGGTAGAAATGCTAATTCGTCTCTTGAAGCAGGAAATGTTGTTACCCTAAAGAGAGGAATGGTTCTTCCCTATACTCCTCTTGCAATGTCCTTCGACAGTGTTAATTACTATGTGGACATGCCCCCCGTAATATTTCTTTCCCCAATGGCCCTCTTTATTCATCTCAAATGATTAGTTGTGATTCTATACATTATTGGTGTAATTATCATTTGATTGACAGAAAATGAAGGAAGAAGAAGTAAAAGAGGACAGGCTTCAGCTACTTTGTGAAGTAACTGGTGCCTTTAGGCCTGGGGTCTTGACAGCTCTAATGGGAGTCAGCGGGGCGGGGAAGACAACTTTGATGGATGTCTTAGCAGGAAGAAAAACAGGTGGCTACATTGAAGGTGATATTAGAATTTCCGGGTACCCTAAGAAACAAGAAACCTTTGCCAGAATTTCTGGTTATTGTGAACAAAATGATATCCACTCACCCCAAGTCACTGTCAAGGATTCATTGATTTATTCAGCTTTCCTTCGGCTCCCTAAAGAAGTCACCAAAGAGGAAAAGATGGTAAAACTTATGACTTGGAATACTTTTCTGAACAATGTATAGCACGATTATTTGATTGCCAAAACTGCATTCCCTTTGTTTTGTTATGTTTTCAGACCTTTGTAGATGAAGTAATGGAACTGGTTGAGCTAGGTGGTCTCAAAGATGCTTTAGTGGGGCTTCCAGGAGTTACAGGGTTATCAGAACAGAGAAAGAGGTTGACAATTGCAGTAGAGCTCGTTGCTAATCCCTCGATCATTTTCATGGATGAGCCAACATCAGGTCTTGATGCAAGGGCAGCTGCCATTGTTATGAGGGTGGTTAGAAATACCGTGGACACTGGTAGAACAGTTGTCTGCACAATTCATCAGCCTAGCATAGATATCTTTGAGGCCTTTGATGAGCTGCTGCTCATGAAGAGAGGAGGACAGTTGATATACTCCGGACCATTGGGCCGCAATTCTCACAAGGTCGTGGAATATTTTGAGGTATTTACCTGCCCAAATATTTTTTGCTTCATCTTAATGTTGTACAAAAACAAAGAATGAATTACTACGTAAGGACACATTCATTGACCTATTGCAGGCAGTTCCTGGTGTTCCAAAAATTAAAGAAAAGTATAATCCAGCAACATGGATGCTTGAGGTGAGTTCGACCGCAACTGAGCTCCGGCTTGAAATCGACTTTGCTCAACACTACAAGTCATCTTCCTTGTACCAGTAAGTCAAAAAGAAACCCTAGAGAAAAAGAAAATGTGTAGATTTTAGGATTTGGCTGACTTTGGGCATATGACCAGGAGAAACAAAGCTTTAGTGACAGAGTTAAGCATACCACCACCAGGAGCAAATGATCTTTATTTTCCATCTCAGTATTCTCAATCAATGTGGGAGCAGTTCAAATGTTGCCTTTGGAAGCACTGGTGGACTTACTGGAGAAGTCCTGATTATATCCTTGTTAGGTTCTTTTTTACCTTTGCCTCTGCCCTCCTGGTTGGATCTATTTTCTGGAAGGTTGGCGCCAAAAGGTTTGTGATCGACTTGCTTCTTGTGAGTCGTGACTTTACAAATTCAAGAGTTTATCTAGACCCTCAATCAACTAGAATTGTCTTTTAACTTTCAGAGAAAGCTCAGCTGACCTGACCATGATTATTGGAGCCATGTATAATGCTGTACTTTCCATTGGAATTAATAACTGCTCAACAGTGCAGCCGGTGGTCGCCACTGAAAGAGTAGTATTTTATCGAGAACGAGCTGCTGGGATGTACTCTGCCATACCTTATGCACTAGCACAGGTACATTGAGGGGTTATAGTGTATATAAGTAGATATCCTTGCATCCGGTCACATTTAGATATCCGATGTCATTGATTTAAAAATCATCCCTATGGCATGCAGGTTGTTGTTGAAATACCGTATGTGTTTGTTCAAACTGTATATTATGTGCTGATTGTGTATGCTATGGTGAGCTTTCAATGGACGGCGGAAAAATTCTTCTGGTTCTTCTTTGTCAACTTCATCTCATTCCTTTATTTCACATATTACGGAATGATGACTGTCGCCATCTCACCAAACCATCAAGTAGCAGCCATATTGGCATCAACGTTTTATTCATTCTTCAACCTCTTCTCGGGTTTCTTCATACCAAGGCCGGTAAGGGTATTCTTCTTCCTACAAGAAGCTATTTCAAATTTAGCTATAAATGATATGTTATGATCCCTTAGTCACCATTCACTGTGATATCCAGGATCAGCAACTGATTTGGATTTGGATCACATAAATTAATTCCAAAAGGCAATTAAAATACATTCTCGAGAACTAAATTGTGAATATCAAGTACTGAATCTTGATCCGACAGTTGATTACCATGGTTAGTTGTCGACCAAGTGATCATAACTCACTATAAACCTTGGTTAACACGACGGCTTGAACTTTTGAATTTGCAGAAAATACCCAAGTGGTGGATTTGGTATTACTGGATATGCCCGGTAGCGTGGACGGTGTATGGATTGATTGTGTCACAATATGGTGATGTTGAGGACACCATTAAAGCACCTGGGTTAACACCTGACCCAACTGTGAAATGGTATGTAGAAAACTATTTTGGATATAATCCAAATTTCATGGGACCAGTTGCGGGAGTTCTTGTTGGCTTCGCGCTCTTCTTTGCCTTCATGTTTGCCTGTTGTATAAAGATACTCAATTTCCAAATTAGATAGAGGAATTCTTGGTATACCCCATGTGTCCTATATACATATGTGTTACAGCAAGTGAGAAATGTGTACTCAATTGAGAATTTGAGATTTTAATGGATTTATAAATTCATGGATTTTTATGGAATTTAATTGATTTGTAGAGATTCTATGTAAAATTTTGATTCAATTCTCTTGAAATCTCATGTGGAGAGGTGAGATTTGTGGATACTTAAAATACACTTCAAAATCTCTCAAATTCCCTCTAATTCCTCAACTTTCTCAAATTCTTTAAAATCAATTTCTAATTGAATACACCTGGAATGTTATAAACTTCTTTAAAATCCTAATTAAATACACCCAGATTTCTAAGGATTTTAATAAACTATCTTAAAATTCTAATTGAATACATCTTGAATTTCAGAGAATCACTTAAAATCATGATTGAATACTCCTAGATTCATTAAAATAATTAAAATCTCTCAAAATCTCAATTGAATACATCCCCGGTAATGTTTGTAAGAAATATTGTACCCAACAAATGGAGGAGGCAATTTAAGAACGAATAATTCCTTTGAGAAAGTAAGTGGATTGTTGGTGTTAGGTCGATATTGTACATATATTTTACGACAATACTTGGGTCCTGACTATTCACCCATTTTACGCATCAAACTATGTGGACCAATCATTTTAAGACACCTGTAAACTCCATGTTACCAAACAAAGATCTTCTCCCTTCGCTCCATCTGCCGTCCTCCACAAGCCCACAACCATAGCATGTCCGAACTCGTCGCCTCCATAAGCTTCAGACATCGTGGACGAGACTCTCTAGAACGACGGCATCCATCGCGGGAGTGTTATGATATTGCAATTGGCCTATTAGTGAATCCTTGGATCACTATGAAGTAGTAGTTAAATAATGGGGGTCAGATTGTATTAGAGTAAGGATTAGATTGTAATAGTCTTGTTAATTGTGGGTTTTAGTTTTAATTGAGTTGTTGTTATGCCAGATGGCACTCTCGCGAATGTAAGGGCTGGCTTGTGGGTTAAAAGCCTCAGCTAGTGGATTGAAAAGCATATATGAAAAACAATTAGAAATTTCCTTTTCTTGTTGTGCAATTCCTCTCCTCAGTACCCACCATTACCACACAGTCAAGGTTGTAGCTAGGTATTGGCTTGGGTTTTATCATTGGTATCACCCTCCGATTCTGGTATCCCTTCTGTATATGCCCCGTTCCACCACCACGGCCCGCCTCTCTGCCATGGAATCTCGTGTTGCTGCTATTGAAACCATCTTAGCCAACCTTCCCAATCAGTTTGCTGAAGCCATTGATCATGCTTTTGAAACACGATTGCCTGTCTATTTCGAGCAATTTCGTCGTGAGCAAGCTGCTCGCGGCGGCGGCGAGGGTTCTTCTGCTCCTCCTTTCACGGATCTTCCTCCACATCGTGACATGGACCGCATCCACGCGTCGCACAGTCCGGTCACCCCTGGCAGTGCTACGGTCAAGCCACCGTGGTCTCCGCGCATCGACTTTCCCCGATTTGGCGATAGTGACGATTTGTTAGCCTGGATCTATAAGGCTGAACAATTTTTTGTTTATTATGGCATTCCCGCTTCTCAGCGCGTGGTCACAGCTTCATTCCACCTCGAGGGGGAGATACTTCAGTGGTATCGATGGATGGATTGTTCCAATACTACTCCCTGTTGGGAGGACTTCACTCAGGCACTGTGTAAGGAGTTTGGTCCTTCCGAGTTTGACGATAGTACTAAGGCACTCTTCAAACTTCGCCAAACAGGTACCCTGCGTGATTATATTGCTGAATTTAGAAAACTGGCTAATCGTACTTGTGATGTTGGTCCTCTCTTGTTAAAGAGTTGTTTCCTTGGTGGCCTTAAACGAGAATTAAAGTATGATGTCAAATTGTTGAAGCCTCATTCTGTTCATGATGCTATTGCCATTGCGGTTCAGTTAGATACTAAGTTTCAAGAGCTCAAAGGCGGTATCCCTAAACCATCACCCACAGTCCCTAAACACCACCCAAACACTACTACTGCCATCAATCCATATGTTCCTCGGGTCCAAAATTATCCTGTTAAGAAGCTTTCTCCAGCTGACATCCAATTAAAACGGGATAAGGGCGAATGTTGGTTTTGCACTGACAAATGGGTTCCGGGTCATAAATGTGGGTTGAAGCAATTGCTTATGCTCGATGTTGCTGACCAAGCGGAGCTTGATGCGTTCCCCCCGGACTCACCTCCTGAAGTTCATCACATGGAACTCAGTGAGTGTGCGTTCTATGGGACAACCGCCATCCCGAAAGCTCAAACTATGAAAGTGCAGGGCACTCTCCAGGGTCATTCTGTGCGGATTTTGTTAGACTCCGGCAGCACGCACAACTTTGTCGACACTCGGTTGTTAAAACAATGGGGCCAACCAGTTCATCCTACTAAGTCATTTGAGGTCATGATTGCCGATGGTGGTAAAGTCCAAAGTTCAGGCTGTTGGCGGTCCGGTGCACTGTCCTTAGGAGGTTATACTTGCAGTGTTGATTTGTATTCATTGCCTCTCGGGGGTTGTGATTTAGTCTTGGGGGTTCAGTGGCTCTCTTCCATTAGCCCTGTCTTATGGGATTTCCATCACTTGATTATGGCATTCACGAAGGACAATCAGCACTACCAATTGTTTCATTCTGCGGCTCCACCTTCTCTTATTCAAGAAGTCTCCTTACAACATCTTGAGAAGGAAGTTGCTAATTCCAACTTGGGCCTTTTGTTGTATTCTATGGAGACACAACCGGTGCTTGTTCGTGACTGTGAGTTGTCCTCAGCTCAATTTACACAACTGCATGCGTTATTGGCCGACTTTGAGTCCCTCTTTGTGCTGCCATCTCAACTTTCACCCTCCCGCTCACATGATCACCACATTCCATTGTTGCCCGGTGCCAAACCACCTAATATACGGCCCTATCACTATGGGCCTCTTGCAAAGGATGAGATTGAACGAGCTGTCAAGGACTTATTGGATGCCGGTTTTATCTGACCCAGTCATAGTCCCTTTTCCTTCCCTGTACTTCTTGTCAGGAAGAAAGAGGGCACTTGGCGTATGTGTATTGATTATAGGGAACTTAACGCTCTCACAATCAAAAACAAATATCCAATTCCTCTTATTGATGATCTCTTGGATGAACTTTGTGGTGCCACCTATTTTTCCAAGTTAGATCTTCGTTCCGGTTATCACCAAATCTTGATGCAACCTGCTGATGTTGAAAAAACAGCATTCAAAACTCATGCAGGCCATTATGAGTTCTTGGTAATGCCTTTTGGGCTTACTAATGCCTCGGCAACATTTCAACAACTCATGAACGACATTTTTCGGCCTTTATTAAGGAAGTGTGTGCTTGTATTTTTTGACGATATCCTCATCTACAGTCACTCTTGGGCGGATCACATGTCCCACTTGTTGGCTGTTTTCCAAATCTTACAGCAACATCGCTTGTTCCTTAAGAAATCCAAGTGCTCTTTTGGTCAACAGTGTGTTGAGTACTTAGGCCATATCGTGTCCCGCGAAGGGGTAGCTGCAGATCCTTCCAAATTACAAGCCATCCGAGATTGGCCTATTCCTAAGACTCTTAAAGAATTGCGGGGTTTCTTGGGTCTCACGGGATATTATCGTAAGTTCATCGCTGGATATGGTTAGATTTGCCAACCCTTATATCAATTGACCAAGAAGGACAAATTCTATTGGACTCAAGAAGCTACAGTAACTTTCAATCAGCTCAAAGATATTATGACATCCCCACCAGTTTTGCGTTACCTGACTTCTCCAAACCCTTTGAACTGGAGTGTGATGCCTCAGGTAATGGCATTGGAGCCGTGTTGCAACAAGGGGGAAGACCTATTGCCTTTACCAGTCAAGCACTTGGTCCAAAAAATCAATCTCTCTCAACCTATGAACGGGAGCTTATTGCCATCGTTTATGCTGTGAAGAAATGGCACTCCTACTTACAAGGCAGGCACTTCACCATTAAAACTGATCATTGTAGCCTCAAATACTTCTTGAGTCAGAAAGCCAATACTCATTTCCAACAAAAATGGGTCTCTAAGCTTCTCGGCTATGACTATGAGATCCAGTTTCGTAGTGGCAGTGACAACCATGTAGCTGATGCTCTCTCTCGCGTACATGGCTCTCCTCTACTTCCTGAATGTGCAGCAATATCATATCCTCATTTTGGTTGGTTTGATGAACTTCGACAATATAATGAACATGATTCTTAGATTCAGAGTAAAGCTAAGGAGTATTTCCAAGCACAGGAGACTAATGCTACCACCCCTACATCTTCTAATTACTCTTTCCAGAATGGGTTTTTACGGTACAAGGCACGGATATTGTTAAGCCCTTCCTCTCCTTGGCGCACCAAGCTTGTCGAAGCTTATCATTCCATACCTGCTGCAGGTCATCAAGGTGTGATTAAAACCTACCACAAGCTTAAGAAAGACTTTTATTGGCCGAGTATGAAGAATGATGTCAAACTCTTCGTTTCGGAGTGTCACATCTGCCAACAACATAAGTATGAAACAGTGGCACCTCCTGGAAAACTGATGCCTCTTCCAACTCCTGAACGAATTTGGGCTGATATAAGCATGGACTTTATCGTCGAACTTCCTAATTGCAAGGGTAAGACTGTTATCATGGTGGTGGTTGATCGGCTGTCCAAATATAGTCATTTTGTTCCTATGGCACATCCATATACAGCGGCTAGTGTAGCACAGCTTTTTCTTGAGCATATTTTCAAACTCCATGGCATGCCCAACTCTATAGTCAGTGACCGTGATCCGATCTTCATAAGCGCCTTCTGGAAAGAGTTATTCAAACTGCACAATGCCAAGTTGTGTATGAGTTCGGGCTACCATCCTCAAACTGACGGTCAAACTGAGGTTATGAACCGCTGCTTGGAAACCTACCTGCGCTGTTTTGTTGGAGGTCAACCTAAAAAATGGGTACAATGGTTATCGTGGGCTGAATGGTGTTTCAATACCTCATACCACGCTTCTTCTAAGTTCACACCCTTCGAA